CTGTGTACAAAACATATGGGTGGTCTTCTAAAAAAGTAAGTACATGTACAAACAAAAAAAGAAAAATACAGGGTCCCCAGTTGCAAGCAAAGACACACTTCAGTGTGTGTGAGTTTGTTTCTGCATTCAATTGGGGACCCTGAACAATAGAGGACAATAAGGTCCCCGATTGACAGAGAGTCCCCGATTGACAACTGTGTACAAAACATATGGGTGGTCTTCTAAAAAAGTAAGTACATTACAAACAAAAAAAGAAAAATACAGGGTCCCCAGTTGCAGGCAAAGACACACTTCAGTGTGGGTGTGTGTGTGTACAAAAAAAATGGGGGATTAGCATATTTAGATGTCACCTGAAGGTGTGTCGAGGCAAGTGTGATACTTTAAGGCACCTCTGGGTATAAATACACAGGCAGTCTGATTGTGTTCACTTGTCTCGCAATGAAGTGGTTAAGGAGCACCCTATAGTGAATGAATGATTACAAAAAAAGAGACACTTCTTTATAGCCACTACTAGCCAAGAAAAATTTGAATAACTTGTTTACCTGTCAATAAACTCAGGGCACACTCTGTCCAATCCTAAGAAACGTTATTAACCTCAAGGCAAAATTTCTGGAAGGTATATCCTATATAATACCATAAAATACATATTTTTCAATGTAAATTTCCACACAGCTATGCTTTTAGCTAAGCCTTTGGAGGCAACTGAACTATTACATAAATGGCGCTGTACCTTAATTTTCCAATATTTTTGAAACTTTTCCAATATATATTTATAATATCTGAACTGCCCTGAATTCAAAAGTCCACAAGTATATGCTCTGTTTTTCTTTAAATCAGATTTTTATTTAAGACACTAGCACTGTAGGAAAATACATGATAAAAAAATTGTTGAGTTTAAAGACAAAAGCCAAACACTGGCCGACTATGGATAAAAACTGATGATGTACATGCATAAAAGTTTTAAAAACACTAGCTTAAGCCAAGTTTCTAAAACACTCAACTATTTCATTCGCTGTGAGACGGTAATTTTTTCACTGAGCAACTTGGAGTTGAGATGAGCTGCAGTAGGACGCCCTCATGAGTCTACAGGTATCTCTTTACTCTGCCTTTGAAGTCTCTGAATCGTGACCCCTGCAGTGCAATGGAAAGTGAACGTTTACGATCATAAAGTTCAGACAGTGGAATTCACATAGAGAGGTATGAGTTCCATCAGCACTTGTGTCCATAAGCAAGACATTTTGTCAATATTAGGAACTATTTCTGACATATTATGTCACTAAGCTTTGGTCTTGAAACTACTGATGCTTAAACTTCATGGTCGACTTTCTACATAAAACATTCTCATTAGATCATTCATCTGACTGACATCATTCACGTAGCATCAACTAATCACAACGTATTTGGAATATGGTATCAGACCTACACTAATTCTTTAAAACCTCAACAGTCCTCAATCCTCCAATTTCAAAATGATTTTACATACACCCCGGGGGGTTGGGTTAAAGTGTTGCTTCATTAATTTGAAAAAATTCTTTTGCAGTGTTAAGCTTTATTCCTAAAATTTTACACTGACCTGCATGCGCATTGGTATGAGAAGAGTCAGGGTGAAATGGGTCCTCTAGTCCATGTGGCCTGGCTAGATGTTGAGACCCATCGGTTATGAGAGCCCAATGCCGGTTCACTAACAAATTCTAGTTACTTTTTTAGTAAATAAAATGAGGCTTACTGCTTGCAAGTTGTTCAACCATTCATATTGGGACGGCTGGTCTTGTGCGAATAAAGCTGCAACTCATCACAGCTTACAAATTATGTCAGCCACAATCATCAGTGCATTCCCTCCCTCCTTTAACTGGTCCATCTAACCCCGCCCACAGTGTGGAACTCTGAAGCTGACCCACTCATGAAACATGCTTACGTAGGTGCAGCGGCTTCCGCTTTGCGTTCCATCTTCTTGAGTTGCGGAAAGATGGCAAACTGGTAGAGGAGCAAAATCCCCGCGTAGACAAAGAAAGGGA